CGTTCTCTTGAACTGAATCTTTTCAATGAATCGGTTCACAAACTTACTGAACAGTGGTCTACAAATCGGACTGAAGCTGTCCGAGCGGTTCTTCAGTCAAAACTTTGCATGCAAAGTTCGGGTTAATTAATTCATTTTTTCGCCGAAGTCTTGGACCATTATGAGGAGCAGCCTCCAGGTGTGTAATCTGAATACCTTCACGGACGTTTCATTGATCCACCATGCTGGTACTGTATTCTGACCCATATGTTCTTTGACCTACTGTATGTCCGATCCGGGTTAACAACTCACCGAATCAATGAACCAACAATTGTTATGCTCGATAAGTTGTGAGACGAGAACCGATGAGTGTGCATTGCATTTGAGAGAGAGCATCTGGAGAAAAGTACAGGTTTGATTGATGGGGCCTACAAACATGTATCTTTATTGGAATATTTAGATCTTTTTTTCAATATATGTAATTAACAGTCTTGGCAAGGTTAGTTTGGAAATGTAGGCTACAGTAGCTTACAGATTTGTTTGAAGTTACCCTATCTAAAATGTAATAAGTAGTGTAACTATTTCAATTACTTTATAAAAGTAATGTAACTGATAACATTTGAATACTTTTCTAAATTTCTAATGTTTTCAACTGTTAATCATTTTCAAAGATGTAACCTACAGTAGTATTCAACACTGATTACTGTCACTTTCGAAATTCTTCATCACTTGAATTTAAATTATAATAGCCTAATTTAATTTTAAAGCACAGCCACCACAAAATCAGACTTACTTTGGGATCATTCTGAGGTTAAATACAGATATTTTAAATTAAATTAAATTGAATTAGCCTACATGATTTAGTTACATATAGTTACTAACCAACACTGGTAATTAAACCAACAAGTATTAAACAACAACAACATACATAAATACATACGTATGTACATACAATCATACATGCATGAAATAAAAACGTCTCCGGTTACTGTCGTAACCTCGGTTCCCTGAGAGACGGGAACGAGACATGGCATTAACGCCTTGGGGACTCCCTTCCTTCCTAACCTACCTGAAATCTTACTGCACAACACCAGTGAAGTTGCAACTCTCACTGGCCAATGCCAGCCAAGACGGCGAATAGGGGCGGGGCCCCCGCCACTATATAATGAGCCGTATTGGCGGCATAAGCTCAGAATCTTCCGACTGAACCAACAGTACAGCAGACCTGAGTAGTGAACACGGCGGCCTACGCCATGTCTGAGGTTACTCAAAATCCATGTCCGATGGCAGGTCTCATCCCCCTACACGACCTAGTCGAAACCACCAGCACAGTCAAACGGTTAGTGGTTGCAGGTAGAACCATGGGTCGTACTCACCAACAGGACCAGTGATGCTAATGACCACACGTCCAAATTGTAGAATCTGACGAAGGTATTCTGCGAAGACCATCCAGCCGCCATACAAATATCTTTGATAGAAACGCCCTTAGTCCACGCCCACGAGAAGACAACCGCCCTCGTTGAATGGGCTCTGACACCAATAGGACATTCCATTCCCCGGCTGGTGATTCGGGGCGGCATCCAATGAAGTCTCCGCCTCTGGAGTGAAAGCAGAAAGAGCCACCACTTGCGCTCTGAACGGTGTCGAGAGTGATTTAGGCACGTAAAGGGCTCTCGAGTGTAGAGACATGTTGTCCGTGCGAATCAACACGTGATGCCCCCGGACTTGCGTGAGGAAACTCCGAAGAGCCAAAAAGACCGCTCTCAGCTCGAGGCGATTTATGTGCCACGTTCTCTCCGACTCTGTCCAGTAGCCCGAGGCCGGTACGCCGTCGCAGTGAGGGGAGAGCGTGACAGAGAGAAGAACAGAGGGCAATGCATGTTCTCCTCTGTCGCGAACAAGTCTACCTCCGCTTTCCCGAACCGTTCCCAGATCAGCCTCACTGTCCCGGGGTTCGGTCTCCATTCTCTGTGAGGAATCCCATCCCTCGATAGCATATCCGCGCCGCTGTTCAGGCAGCCCGGAACATGCGCTGCTCGAATGGAGAGCAGATGGTGATCGGCCCACAGCAAAAGGCGTGCTGCCTGTCTGTAAAGGGCTCTTGAGTGTACTCCGCCCTGGCGGTTTATGTACGATACCAGCGACATGTTGTCCGTGCGAATCAACACGTGATGCCCCCGGACTTGCGTGAGGAAACTCCGAAGAGCCAAAAAGACCGCTCTCAGCTCGAGGCGATTTATGTGCCACGTTCTCTCCGACTCTGTCCAGTAGCCCGAGGCCGGTACGCCGTCGCAGTGAGCTCCCCAGCCCATCGTCGACACGTCCGTCGTGACCACTTTCCGCCGCGTGACCAGACCCATCTTGGCACCGCGTTGGTACAAGTCGGGGTTTCGCCATGGTTTCAGCGCATTCAAGCATCTGCGAGTGACCACTACAGGGGCACGGCCGTTTTCCACGCCCTTCTCGGTACTTGTGTCTTCAGCCATATCTGGAGGGGGCACATATAGAGTAGACCGAGGTGACAGACCGTCGCGGCCACCACAGAGACCTAACCTCTCCAGGTGAAGTAACAGAGCGCATTTGTGGCTGTTGAGCACATTCTCCGAATGGGCCAAGACCAGCCAATCGTCCAAATAATTCAATATGCGTATTCCGCTCACTCTCAGAGGGGAAGGTGCTGCATCCACACATTTCGTAAATGTACGTGGTGCCAGCGCTAGCCCGAATGGCATCACCGTGAACTGATACGCTATGCCTTCTAACACAAATCTCAGAAAGCGCCTGTGACGAGGGGCGATCTGGATATGAAAATATGCGTCTTTCAGGTCCACAGAAGCAAACCAATCTCCGGGTCGAATCTGCGCGAGTATCCGCTTTAGCGTTGTTTTGAAAGCGCATTTGTATAATGCATGGTTGATGGGTCTCAGGTCTAAGATTTGACAGAGACCACCATCTTTCTTTGGAACGACAAAGTACCGGCTGTAAAACCCGCTCTCTCTCTTGCTCGGCGGGACCCCTTCTATCGCGTGTTTCGCGAGGAGATTGAGAATTTCTTGCCTCAGCACCGGCAGTGCACGTTGTGTGCCGGAACTGTCGACATGACCACGCCATTGAACCGGGGTGGTCTGCGCCAAAACTGAAGCGTGTAGCTGTTCTCTATTACGTTCTGCAACCAATCCAAAATGCCCGGAATGGACCGCCATGCGCTCGCAAAAAGACACAGAGGGCGGAGCGCCTCGTCCTCTGAATTCTGAATAACGCCGCTCTATGCCGGGGTCGTATTCAGAAAGCTCACGGGACGAGTGGGAGCGCTGTATGTTAGCGAGGATCGTGCCTCGCCGATCAACGGGGAGTGCGAGCCTTCTGCTGAATGTTTGAGTGACACGGACCTGCGTATGTGCGAGAGCGAGCCGCGGCTGCTGGGGTCCGACACCGGCCACAGGGGCATGAGCCTCGCCAGATACATGGGGAAGCTGCAAGCCCGACTCTATTGATGGTTCCACGGCCGAGTGTGAATCCGCTATCACTGGAGGAGGAGAAAAAAGCTCTTTTTGTGAGGGTGTCACAGACTTTTTTTGACTTTATTGCATTTTGAACATACACAACACAGACATTCCCGTAGTTGCCTGCAACAGCCAAGGTGACTTCACGAGAACATCTCAGACGCTTCGCGGCGGGCTCGCCGCTCGGTGCTCTCCTCCTCTGCACCCTCCCGTCAGGAACAAAGCTTCTGTTCCGGCGGGGGAGCTCCCCCAGGACGGCCGCCTTTCTTGAAGCCGTGACGCCCCTTCGGTGTCCTCTGCCACGGAGTTTTGGCGCGAACAGACGGCTCTGGGTCTGGCGCCGATGAAGCTGAAGCAGAGGGGGGCCGCTTCGACGGCCGGTTGGAAGCAGATGAGGATCTACTACGTGCAGGGGGTTGCGCTGCAGCCCGGCATGGCAGGAAGTGACTCGCCTTGGAGCGCTTCTGTGCCTCTGAGAAGCGCTCCGCGATAGCCTCCACCGCGTCTCCAAAGAGGCCGGATGAAGATACAGGAGCGTTGAGCAGCGCCCTCCTGTCCGTGTCCTTAAGCTCAGTGAATGTCAGCCACAGATGCCGGTGGAGCACCACCATGTCGCCCATGCTCTGTCCGATCGCCTGGGCCGTCTTCTTTGTGGCTTTAAGTGCAAAATCCATCGCCACGCGTAGATCCTTGAACGCCTCGGGATCCGCCCCACCCTCGTCCAGGGATTTCAGGAGCTGTGCCTGAAAAACTTGGAGCACTGCCATCGTGTGCAGCGCTGAGATCGCTTCTCCCGAGGTGGCGTACGCTTTGTCCGCAAGGTGTGCGGTCAGACGGCAGGGCCTTGATGGCAGCGTAGCACCCATCTTCAGGGAAGCAGAGGAGGGGCAGAGGTGCGCAGCGATGGATTCCTCGATGGGCGGAATGCGCGTATATCCTCGGGCTTCCGCCCCGTCGACTTTAGTGAAGATCTCCGACCCACCAGTGTGAGTGCGAGCCGATTGGGGCGCAGCCCGCACCTTAGCGACCTCGTCGTGCAAGTCGGGGAGGAATGGGGCTCGCTCCCGAGTGAAGGAACCACGAATCCAGCTTGCTCTCAGCTGGTTCGTCGGGGGATTCCCACTCTAGACCGAGATCGCTCATGGCCTTGGTGAGAATCCGGACGAGCTCATCCTGGAACGCGGCGTGTCCCTCCACTTCAGGGCCCAGTCCTTTTCGGACGCTGTTAGGGACATCGCCTCATCAAGATCGTCGTCATCCCCCGCCGCACCGAACGAGATCATCTCCGAAGCGCCCCGTTAGGGACAGCGCCTCGTCAAGATCGTCGTCATCCCCCACCGCACCGAACGAGATAATCTCCGAAGCGCCAGAGGTGGGTTGAAGACTCTCTTCTGCCAGGCACACCGGAGAGCGGGGGGGTGAACTGCGCCTTTCTGCGCGGTCGCCCACGTGCGGCTGTCGTCCCACAGCGGCTCGCTGGTGGCGGTGGGACGTTGCCGAGA